CTGCGAGCCCTTCGATGAACTGGAAAATATTTTGATGACGTGATAGCTGAATTAACACTCCTTCTTTCTTGAGGAAATAGAACAGAGGTGCTTCTTGACCTTCCACGGGGAACGGTTGAAAGTATTAGAGATACAACTTCACAGAAACATGACCAAAACACAACAAGAATGTTGTGCTTTAGAATGTCGCATGATGATGAGTGTACATGTGACGATTGATACAAATTTATGTTAACGGGCAGGCAATTCAGCTGGAGTTAGCCGGGCAGGCTCGCTTGGCCGGTGTTTTTCATCCTGATATTAGCTCGGATTCCAGATAACCGGATTGGCTGGGTTTTCATGCAATCACTGATAAATTATATTTCTGTTGCGTTTAATTGGCGCCCTGAGATCTTTTCAAAGCGAGCCAGCCCGGAACCCGGGCAAGCCAGACTCATGTATTCAGCCCCTTAACGTCATTCATGAGGTCTTCTTTTTTTAGATTGGAGGCCATTAAGTTTTACCCCACTATGCTGTGAATAAAAATATTTCAATAAACATTGGAAACTAGCGAATAATTTGTCTACCTTATTTATTCTGGGCGCTCTTACGTACGAACTGTTGTACTTTAATTTTCAATCTTAGTACGAGGACATCAGCAGCATGGGGATGTTGCTGACCGATTCACAAAGAAAGTGGGTCAGTTTTCTTAAAGAAGCCGCCAGAAAGAAACCACCTTCAAAGGAGATTCGACCTAAGGTACTAGCTACTACAGTATAGATATATTTATTTTAGGATTCTAAGCATGGCAAAGATGGCTGAAAATACTCACCATGACATAGCCGCTTTAAAAAGGTGAAGACGGTATTGTTGGTTGAGGAATAAAACACTTAATACCATCTATACAACTACTTTCCGGATGCCCAGAGCCGGGCCTCTTACCGTGCTTTTTTTATGTGTATTTGATTATATCTTCCACAGAAAAGATTGATCGGCCTGCTATATGACGTGGTAACGGGGGATAAATTTGAAGTCACAATTATGACAGTGATAATGTGCAACATGGTCATGATGATGATTCAACATTATAGACAGTCCTCCCAGGTCACCGCCGTACTTCATATCCTTTTGCCACGACAGGTTTTTTCATTTGTTTTCTATTTCCTTAAAAAGCGGTTTTTAATTTGTGTAATTCATTTAATCTGTGCGATCTAATATCTACTTGTATAGGACAAAAACAGAAATTTCTATTAAAGTTGCTCTTGGTTGAAGTTAAAGTTCTTAACTTTCCGTTTATGCTTGAAGTGAAGTCCACGGACACATAAAAGGCAGAGTATAAATATAATTATCAAACGCCTAACATCGTTTTGAGAGAAATGTTAGTACTTCTTTTTACATTTGGGTAGTCCCAACTCTCTGCCAAGTCCCAACTAAACTTTATCATAGTCTTGCCCACGAAGTGACAGTAACCTCTGGTGATTCCTGCACGTTCCATCACAAACAGGCAGAAGATTAAGACGTTACCCACGTTTATTTTTTCCAAAACAAGTAAATGAGTATCGAAAATGCTAATTTAGTGCTTCCTCTAATACTCAGATTTCCTAAAAAGATTTTGCGGTCAAAACCTCAGTTATAATAACAATCCGCAGAATAAGTAACACGGTAAGCTACAGAATTATATAAATACTTTCCTTAACTCATGATCACGTGTATCTAATTTTATCTTCACTGGTATCTTTGTTTTGGAAGCCATACTAAAGGTTATTGCACTGAAGCAGCATTACTTCAAGAAAGCGTGGAATGTGTTTGATTTTATTATTGTTATCAGCTCTATTGTGGGTACGTATATCCTCCATTGTCATCATAAATGTTGAAATTTATCACCCTTCCTAAAAGTTAAGACCAAACGCAATTACAATTCCCAGCTCTTTCCTCATTAAAAAAAACATTTACATGTACATGTTATTTGCAGGCCGGATGGTCCGTATAGGAAAAAAAGAGACCGGCTGGTTGAGGCAGATGGCCGCCCTTTTTTTACATTTTTGTTAGAGTTTTCCCGACTGATTACTACTAAATCTTCTCATTTAATCCCTTGACAAGTCGGGTTTGGTTTGAGATGCGTCAAAAATGTCTGTACTAAATTTTTCTCCCCAAGAGTTGTTTGAGTGGATAAGGGATTAATCTAGTGAATCGTTTTGCTGCAGACTAAAAAAATGGTTTACGTCTTTACAGAGATCATCCTTGAGGAGGTAAATGTGAATGAAGATATGTTCAGCCCCAGTCTTCTTCGTGTTCTACGCATCTTTAGAATTGCCAGGCTCCTAAGGCTGGTGGAGTTTGCCAAGGGAATACGTCAGCTCTTGTGGGCACTTATGATCTCATTACCAGCTCTCTTCAACGTAGGTGCACTTCTTTTCTTGGTGATATTTATTTACGGAATCATCGGCATGTCAGCGTTTGGACATGTTAAACAAGAAGGCGACTTAAATGACCTTGTAAACTTCGCGACTTTTGGTAGTTCGTTGTCATTACTCTTTCGTTTGTCAACTGGCGCGGGATGGAATGACATTATGGATTCCTTGCTACTGAAACCGCCAAACTGTGATCCTAACTACATGAATCTTCCCCATGGCAATTGCGGTTCCTTTGGCGCTATTCTTTACTTGGTCAGTTACATCGTAATTGTTTTCCTTATCATCGTCAACATGTACATTGCTATCATTCTCGAAAATGTGTACCGTGCTCACGAGATCGAGGATTTCTGCATCACTCAGGAAAACTTTAACAGCTTCTATGTCTCGTGGGGGGAGTTTGTTCCTGACGGTAGGGTATATCTTCCGTTAGCTCAGTTGTCGGAGTTCGTTGCTACTCTGAAGAAACCATTCAAACTTCCAAAACCAAACACTGAAATGTTAGAAGAGATGGACATACCGTTGAGGTCAGGAGAGGTTGTACACTGTTTTGACCTGCTGAAGGCGCTAGTTAAACATGTTTTGGAAAAGCATGGTGAATCTCCAGAAGTTTTTCAGGAAATTACTGTGAAAATGGAGGCTAGATTTAACAAATCATTCCGAGTAAAGAAGGCGAAATTGTCGATAACTGGTTCTACTAAATCGAAATTATCTGAAAGTGTGCGCGAGACTGACCTTTGAGCATTGTTCATAGTGTGAGTTAGTTCATGATCAGTCTGTGTAGCCTGCAAGTCTTTTCAGTTCCGACAACGTCGGAGTTTAGGCTGGAAAAGTGGAAATTGAAAGAGTATCCTTTAAGAAGTGGAACTTGGGTTAACACGTGGACAAAGCTGCTCATTATTAAGCAGATGGATGTAAGATTTAGGCCAAGGCCAAACGTCGCCGAACTTTTCATGAGAGGAACCAAACTCTAATTTGCACATGCATCACGCTTTTCTTGTACATTTCTTTGTCGTCGTTGCACGACCATGACGTCTGAAACTGCCTAATTTCACCCTTTTTGAAACTCAGATAAAGTCTTTAAAAATTCAAGTACAGAAAAATTTACCAACATTTACAACTGTAAACGACACGGAATAAGAGCACTGAATTTTAAACAGCGTGAATTCAATTTTAAGAGAAGTTCTTGCCTCCTCCGTCCTCGTTTTTGGTTAAATTCTTAATATTTCAATGACCAGGACTTTTGGTCTACATTCTCAATATTTCTTCAAAAAGGGTGTAAATATGCATGTACCGCTTATATGCCATTTTTTTGCATTTTAGACATAGGCGTACGGGCAATTTTCGGCCAGGGGGGCGCGGTAAACCATTTGCCCAAAAAATTCTTGCAAGTAGCCCAAATTTTTACAAAACAGTCGAAAAGAAATGAGGCCCATACGATGCAACAACATAGGCCGTACTGGCATATGAGAGTGCCTCGATACAGTTTTTCAGGGTCAATACGTAGCAAACATTTGGAAAAATTACCACCGCAGTTGCATTAGATAAAGATGAAAAATTGTCATAATCAGGGTTGCAATGACATCAGAGTTGTCATAGCAACGAAATGACGCCATTACCTATTATACTTGCAGCATTATTTCTCACTATGAAATCGTTCTTGGGAGCTTTTTCCTCCAATAGTCGCCTCGATGTTCGTAAAGTTAAAACGGAATCTGTAAGAGCGTTATCGGGATATTTTGGGATAGAGTTTTTATAGTTAAAAAATACAGTAAAAAAAGGAAAATCTTGATGTTTAGCCGTTATCTGTAGAAAACGAAGCGCTTTTGACATTCAATTTCACCTCATAGTCGCTTCATCTTTTAAAAAATGTGTGAATTATGTTAGAGATAATTCTGGTCAGTTGCTACAAAGAAGGATTTCATTAGTATGTATCATGGCGCTCTTGTTAGCGGTTTTGTAAACATTTCAGTCTACTTTAACAAATTAGTGAATAATTTGAACCACTTGATATATTTTTTTTTAAAAAATTAAGATTCTTCTCGTAATTCAAAGTGAGAATTAGTCAGCCACTTCTTCACTTTCAGATCAATCACTGATGCTATCTGCCATACATTGTTCTACGAGCAGAGATGATTCTAGAAAGTTAGGCGGAAGTTTATTCTAATCAATTCACGATTGGAAATAGCCCATTGCAGTACAGTGCCCAACGATAAAAAAAAAAACAAACCAGCATATGATACCCTTCCCTTATAAACAGAAACTCATCACGTGCTTGGCAACCACTGTCTCGTTTGAATGTAACTGGATTATTACGCCGACTTCAGCTTAAAATAGAAAATATTTATCTCTTCAAAATACTAATAAAAAAAAACATGAAAACGTCCTTAAAAGCTGGCTTTGCCCAAATTTTCTCTTGCTGCCCAAAAAATCTGAGTTGCCCAAAATTTGGGGGGGGGGGTGCAGCCCCCCTCGCCCCTCCCCCCCCCGGCCCGTACGCCTATGATTTTAGAATGAGCAGCTAGAAATTGTGACTGACATGTCAAACAAATACCGGAGGGTATGTGCATAGTAAGAATATTTCAGGAGTGAAAGGAAATCATAATGAAGCTTATTTGCCGTCCTAGATACTTTCCTATAGGATAAAACGATAAATGTACGTTAAAGTTTACTAAAGAAGTGACAGTAAGATTTGTGTTTTTTTTTTAAGTTTTAAATGTTTTGATGTCCAGTTTTTCTAGTCGGTAATAGTTAAGTATTTTGAAAATCAGCTTCGCACAAATGCAAAAGTGGGTATTTGCAACGAGAGCAATTCTATTCTCCTACCCATAATTTTATTGACGTTTCTATGCCCTCATTTGACTACCCAATTCCACGATTCTTTATTAGTTATTTAGAGGCCACCATTTTTGTAAAAACAACAGAGACTATCTCCACGAGGTAGTCTCGGCACCCCTAAAAGTTGGAGCATCACTTTGTTTGATACCGATGCGTTTAGACGTGGGTAATTGCTCGAACTGTGCCGAAACTTTGCAAGCATGGTGCCAAAATATGTGATACCCTGGCCATATTTTTTGCTGGTGTAAATGGGGTGAAAACTGACTTTTCTACTGTACCCTAAAATGTAAAATTGCTTGAACTTAAGTCTGTATTTTGTTTAACAACGTCACGTCTTTTCAAGTTTACAAAATACAAAATTAACGTTAACAAAAACGTGGAATAAAATTTTAAGGAATAGCTCCAATAGTTGAAAAGGATATGTGTCATTTGTTTCAAAAGAATGGCATCAAGCATACAAGGCTTGTCTGTCTTGTCGACGTAATTATAAAGCGATCAATTAGCAAGTTTATATGCCCTTTAGAATACCAAGTTGAAACTCACTTTACAACTGCCATCCCAACTCAAAATTATATTCCACGATTTTTCCCAAAAGATGTAGGCTCGAAAAATATAAAGTTCTAGACAATACGACAAGAGGAGGACTACAATTTCAATGTCCCTACTGCATAGAGGACTCAAGCTCTACCCTTATGGTAAACCGCTACTCCAAGGACTTTCTATCAATCCTGAGAGCAAAGGCCCCGACAAGCATTCGCAGTTGAAGATATTTTTCCTTTCGTAGTATATATACAAAATTGGTACAGAACTCCGAAAACTGTTCAACCAAGATTCTCCCTATTAACTATTATAGAACAAACCATTGTTTTCCGTCTGGCATACACTGTATGGTAGCCTGCGTCGCAGACATAGTTTAACCTCGGTAAGTAACATCTGCGAACCAGTGCCAATATCCTTGTTCTGGGCCCCCAACGGATTCAACGAATTGCCGGGAGTGCGTTTCGAATTTCCCTTCAACCTGATTGGCAAATTGACAGTCGTTTTTTTAACAGGCCAATCATCGCGCGTACTCAATTCCTCAGTGGTACACAGGTGGGGCCAAGAACACGGATTTCGGCTCTGTTTCGCAGACGGACGTTACCAGAATTTAGTTTCGTCTGTGGCGCAGGCTAGCGTATGGAGGAAAAACAGAAGAATTCAAATAGTTGTCTAAATCAGTTTCCAAGATCATTTTTCATAATAAATATATTTTTAATAAAAAAAACTT